CTATTTACGACAAACACGCGTCGTGCGTCGCGTCGTACGTCGTGTCGTGTATCGCGTCGCTTATTACGTCGCCTGAAGCACGACGCGACGCACGACACGACGCGACGCGTCGTGTGCTGTCGCCCTTTGAGAGGGCGCTTTTACTGTTTTCTTTCATTTCTGTCCCCCGTACTTGCAAAGTACATGCTTTTTACTCTTTGGTGTTGATTTGCTGTTGTTTTTATCTCATCCATTCCTCGATTAAGATTAATTTCTGTCATGTTTTTTAAGAAAAAGAAAAAAGAGCAAAAAGAAAATCGGCATATGTAGGAACTGCTCTCTCATAATATGTGGAAGCCCAGAATTTGTCACTGTTTAAACCCAGCCAATGATTTCTTTTTGATACCGTCGATGCAGTTCCAATTTGTGGTAGATTTGTAATCTTATAGATACCGGTATTTCTCCGTGGTCCATCCCGGTAATTTTTAAGTAGTACTCCCAATTCCCCAGACAATTTGTCTACAATTGTATGACTGCAAGTTTGACCACTGGTTTAGGAAGTTACCACCGAGCCTTCTCTATAAAACCCTCAGAATATTCCGGTGTTGGAGGTCTCGAGACCTGGTCGCGGTCTCGAGACCGTCTCGAGACCTTTTTTGGGGTCTCGGTCTTGGACTCGGCCTACAAGAGTCTCGGTCTCGGGAGGGTTGGTCTCGGTCTCGGGAGGGCTGGTCTCGGTCTTGGTCTCGGATGCCGAGGTCTCGGGTCTCCCACCCGAGACCTGCCGAGACCATGACAGAAAAGCAGAAAAATGTGCGTCAACAATTCACACTCGGCTGTGGCAAAATCACGTACCCGGATCGTACGGTACATACAGCACACATATGTACACTGTATGTAGCAGTGCTCCTTACAGCGCAAGTTTACCTCAGAATGAGTCTAGTTCCGAACTGCACGCGATTCCGCATGTATGCTTGGAACATGTACATGTACGACATGGTATTCACGATAAAGAATGAAATCAAAGCTGGAATGGAGACTAATGCATATTCTCAGCCCGGAGCACTGGTACCCTGCGTGCAGTACCTCTTTCATTTCACTGGTACACATACGTCAGTTGTGTGTATGCATACATGAACATGTACTGTACATGTACATGTACACACTTTAATATGCACATGACGCGCCGGGCTGCACGCACGCCACGCATAGCATAATACACGTGGCCGGCCGACAGAACTCGTGCTCATGCCAATTGTACAAATAGTAGAGGAGAGTGCATTCATCTTATTGACCCTTTTACACAGTTGATGAGTCAGGTACCATCTGGATAGTACAATTCTTTGTTAGAAACTTAAATTGTGGTCGTCTTGTGTTTTTCTTCACTCTTGTTCCAAACAAAGTGTCAGGAAAGTATTCTTACGGTAGAATGTTTACACATCAGTGAGGAAACTTGGATTGGTAAAATCATGATTTTTATATACATGTACATGTACTTTTAATAGGGAACTGCCCACGATGTTGTGTGACCCTTCTAAGGTGTCTATTGATCATTACAGAGTATAACTCATAAACTGAACTCATGCACACCTTTTGGCATAGTCCGAGCAACTCAGACCCCACGTTTTGCCTTTTTAAACATTTGGACATGGCCCGCTCACGTTAATTTTGCTATACATATGGAACACAAAGACTCTGTACATGTTTAATGTATGATTATGCCGTATACTCTATACAAAATTCTATATCATCGGCAGTCCATGCCGTCACTGGCAAAATAACTGTGTGCTGCTTTTTTCCCAGAGTTCAATAAAACTCTTTCATGGAATATTCAATATGTTGTGTGCTTATGGCATGTAAAATTTGCACTTAATTTTGCTGTTTAATGCCAATTGTCTACCACGTTTACCATCAATGAACTACATGTAGGCCTATATATTGTTTATGTTGTGCAAGGTCTCGGTCTCGGTCATCTTGGTCTTGGTCTCGGTCTCGAAGTTCTGGTCTCGGTCTTGAAAGAGCTGGTCTCGGTCTCGGACATAAAGGTCTCGACTACAACACTGGAATATTCCGTCGTAGTCTTCCTTCAGGCCAGTCTTCCTTGTTACCTTCATCAGCACCACACTTTCAATGATATTAGTCCATGTTTCTGAATAAAACATTATACAGACGCTATTATCATTGTGGCCGTGTCTTTTTTTCAACTCTGTTTGGCCTCACACATG